AAGGATCATCTCTTTTGTTATACCTTCTCTACCTTTCAACTTTGATGATGACTGCTGGAATGTTACACATAGTGCTGGTGGCATCACACTGTGATGGCTTAATTGATGCCTGCAGTAGACTATAAACTTCTTGAGAGCCAGGACCATGTGCCATTTATGTTTGCATTTCTTTATTCCACTCAATATTCATGTAGTCTCACTATACAGCTATTTTGTAAATAAAACAAAAGCAATTGGAGTTGTTAGTATTGAACAGCTCTGGGGACTTTGCTAAGGAACCTTCCTGGTTTTTCCAGATTTACATTCTCTTTTAGACATTGCCCTACTCCCTTCCTAATCTAAGTAAAAAGCAAGGACTGAGGGAATAGGAATATTTAAGACAGTGTTAATGATGATTACAGCTGAAACCTGCTTTGATTCTTTACCCACACTGAGATGTTCCGGAGAGGCTTCCTGACAGCACCACTTGAAGCCGTTCCCATTATATCACTGAAGGCAAATAATTCATTGCATTTGGAAGCTAAGCTATTTAATAGCTAAATTTATGCTCATCCTTTGTTAACTTGAGTTCAACCACTTACTTTACTTGCCATATTTTTTAGATAGTCACAGCAGCACTTTCAAAAATATATGCTTGCTTTCTTTCCTTTTCAGCATTTCAATTCATGTTTGTTTAGAGTTCAATATATATCGATGCTATCCTTAATATAAATTTAAAAAAATATTTTATTGTGGTATACGCACTTAATGTGAGTTCTACCCTCTTACAATTTTAAACTGTAAAATACAGTACTGGCTGTAAGTACAATGTTGTACAGCAGATCTCTAGAATTTATTTCAACCTGATTAAAACTTTATGCTCATTTTCTCCCCATTGTCTTCTCCCCGCTTTCCCCCACAGCATGCTTTGTTTTGAATTGTTTGCTTTAAGTTTGTGGTTATATTGAAGGGAGATTTTCTTTCAAGAATGCTTTATACTTTTAAATCCAATTACAAATTAATAATTTACATAAAATATTATGTAGTGAGATTCAGAGGTAAAAATATCTGGTGACAACAGCTAGGGCTACTAATATTGAACAGTGTTCCAGGTACTGTCCTTAGTAATTTAAATGGAGTGCCCTATTTAATCCTCATGACAGCCCTGTGAAGAAGATTGATATTATTCTTCTATTCCCTAGAAGAGAGAAACAGTGAAACTTAAACAAGTTAAGTAACTTGCCCACATCACACAGCTGTTAAAAGATCAGAGCCTGGACTGGGATTCAGGCAGTCTGACTCCAGAGTGCATGCTCATAATTACTACAGCTGTGGATAACATAATTTAGAACTAAACAATTTCTATTCTACCTGAAAATCAGAGGTTTGTTTGCCTGTCAGAGGAGTCTTAGCATCTTTTTGAATAGATTGATTCTTCCTTCTTGAAACCATATTCACTACTTCCACGCTTTCCTTTCATTCCCCTTATGCTACTGGTAAATTGAACTGTAAATCCCTCTTCTACTCCTTCTTTGGGATAATTTCATTACTGCTTCATTAGCCAGTGCATCATAAAAGCACCTCAGGATAGCCCTGTGCTTATGCTGAGATACAAGTACTAAGTCACTGCCAAATGCATGCCTGTATTTATTCTTTTTGCCACACAAACAATGGGAAACTGTCTAGATAATTCCCGGCAAAAACAAGAGAAGAGGATACACATGTATTTGTTTTATACTGAGGCATAAATGTAGGAACTGTGATAAGGGCAATGCCTATGTAACTAGGCAAGTGCAGATTCAGATGTTTAATCAATTAGATTTTATTAAACCACACACACTCTCCCAAATCCAAAGGTATGTATTATTTTTACTGATTAATGTTAGTTTTAAATTTTACATTATAGCTACTCTGTGTTATAGAAAAATAGTATCTTTTGCAATGCAGTACCTTCAGAAAATTAGTGGGAAAGCTGTAGTTGTTTTTATTAGTTTTATAATTGTAATGAAAAATACTAACTCTGGAACTGCTAGGGATTATACTTTTGATGTGAGAGTAAATATTTTTTTCCTTAATGGAGTGGCTTTATTGTCAGGATAGATTGGAAATTTAATGCTTTTTTTCTTAAGAAAACTTATATATTCCTATACATAATCCTCTTCTCTCAAGGAATATTTTTCCTCTCAACTTTATCCTATTAGAAATTAATATTTAATTCTTATTAAAAATTACTTGTGCTAAAGCAACCATTTTGCTGTTATTAGTCATTTCTACTATTTGAATGTGGTCCATTTCTGGGATAATATTTTGGTATGAAGAAAATCTGTAAACAGGAAAGAGTTTGGGTACATAGGGGAAAGAAGAGATACCAAAGCAAGGGTTGAGCAAAAGTGAAGGGGAAGTACTTAAAACTAAAAAAACGTTGGCAGCAAAGATAACCTTATCTCAATTTCCTATATTTTCCTCAAGACCAGTAATGGTCATCTGATAGCCATATTTGACTCCACATCAGGGTGTTTGCTTTTTGTGGGTAGCTGACACTTTAAAAAGACTGACTCCATACACGAGTCTAGTCCGTGTTTCTCTTAGATGTGACCTTGCCCCCACAATAATCCAGAGTCTGATTCTCCATTAGTCAGTGTTATCTATTCTTCCTTCATCTCTGCACACAATGACCCTCTGCATCTTTCCATGAAGACATTGCCATTGCCTCGGGGATCACAGCAGATGCAACTGTACTCAGGCTAGCAGCCTGAAAGAGTTGACAGTTTTTTGGTTACCTACCCAAAGTTTCAGTTTTGACTTTTCAGGCTGCTGTCACGGAATATGAACACATGATGAAGTTGCCTGTTATCTCAGATGCAATGAATTTTCATGGAGACAAACTTTCAAGGTTTTTAAGCTCAGCATTATTAGGAAGATTACAGCTTCAGCTGGTATTCTTTCTGTGATAAGAATAGTCCAACTACACTCACATTACCTCAATTTGAAGAGGGCAAAGAGGAGACAACTTCCTGACTTGAAAAGAAGGATTACAAGATCTAAGAGCTTTTGTTCTAGTTTAGATGACCAAGGTTCTCTGCATCCATGTCCCTGGGGGAGCCCGTTCCCCCTGCCCCCCTCCCCCACATTCCAAGCACTTGTCTGTGTAATCCTGGGAAAAACTTCTCCCAGGCAAGATCTCCATATGTGTTATTTGGCTTCTTTCTCTAATTATCTTCAAACATCAGCTTGGTATTCACAATAATAGCTACATTTATTGAGCCCTCTCCAAATGCTAGTCACTGTTCTAAAGGTTTTACCTGTTTTAACTCATTCAATCCTCACAAACTTACGAAGTAGATATCATATTGCCTACATTTTCCAGATTCAGAAAACAGAGGCAGAGGGAAGTTAAGTAACTTGACCAAGGGCACACAGGTTGGCAGTGTCAGAGCTGGGAGGGAATTACAGGGAGTCTGGCTCTAAAATTTATGGTCTTGCTCCCCAGAGATTGAGAACACATCCTTTCAGCAACAAGTGGTTGACTAAAATGCTATTTTCAGGTCACATTTGTATCCTAACATGAGTCCCACACAGCTAAGTCTAGGGAAGTGTCTCTGGAACACAGCTATAATTCCTAATGGGCCTAAAAAGCTTTCCAGAAATGACCATTCATTTTAAGAACAGTTTGGAAGGAGACTGGAGGGTCCAATGAAGCTGCCGAGGTTCTCCCTGGTTCTCCAGGGACATGGCAATATAAGTTTATTGTGGAATGTGGCTTTTTAATGGGTGGCTGGGGACTCCATTCAACAGCCGTACCTTAAAACAGCAAGTCCGCATATTGAGTGGTTTACTGGTATTGGCTATTTTAGTTCCTGTGGGTCTTTAGTTATGTTAGCTCCTGTCCTTGATTCTTCCACATCAGGATAAGAAGTTACTGCTTTAACTATAGGCCAATGTGGTCATTGTGGTCACTAGTTCTTCTGTATCTCTGTGCAGTTTGAGATACAATTCTTTCCTAAGAAATAATCTTGGAGTCCTAGGAGAACAGTGTCTGCATGTGATTCTTATAATCCACCCTGAAGTGACTTCTCAGTCATTGACCTCATGTTCTTAGTTTCTGTAGACTTGACAATTACTAAAAGTCCCTTTTCTAGACCACATGATAAGCCCTGCAAGGTAAAAAATTGTCTTATTCTATATGTTCCTTGCTTATTATAGGTGGTAGTAAACATTGTTTTGGTCAGTTAAAATATACTGGAGTCCCTTAGCAAAACTAACTTTTCTAATATGACTGTAATATGGATAACTAAATAGTCTAAAGGGTATCAGTTGACATATGTCTGAGAATCACACAGTTTGTATTTATTTCTTCTAAAAAATGGGATACATGTGCAGAATATGCAGGTTTGTTACCTAAGTATACATTTGCCATGGTGTTTTGCTGCACCTATTGACCCGTTCTCTAAGTTCCCTCCCCACACCTCTCCACCCTTCAACAGGCTCTGGTGTGTGCTGTCTTCCTCTCTGTGTCCAGAGAATCATACAGTTTTAAAGCTTAGGGTAATTTTGAAATAGAAAAAGAACATAATGATTTATAAAATTTGATTTCAAAAGTTTGGATTTTTGTGCTAAGAAGTAATTAGTGTGGTTTATATTTGAATTCACTTTGCTTTATTCATGCTGGGTGGCCTTTTCTTCCATTAACCAGTGGTTTTATATAATTTTTAGGTCATATTTAGAGTTTTTCCACCCACATCTCCCTTCTTCCATTGTTATACAAAAATAGAAGTATTTTATCACATATTAATAAATATTGGCCAGATGCTGATGGTGCTTTTAAAATGTAATTATTTAATTCTGAGACTCTGGGAGAGGGGGCTTGAATCTGTGCTTTGGGTGTTCTTCTCAGATGCGGTGCTTTTAAAAAAAAAAGTGTAATTATTTAATTCTGAGACTCAGAGAAGGCTTGAATTTATGCTTTCGGTGTTATTCTCAGATGCAGAGATGTAAATGCCATTTTTCTGTTATGTTTTCAGGTCACATGTGCCAATTTAACGAATGGTGGAAAGTCAGAACTTCTGAAATCAGGAAGCAGCAAATCCACACTAAAGCATATATGGACAGAAAGCGGCAAAGACTTGTCTATCAGCCGACTCTTGTCACAGACTTTTCGTGGCAAAGAGAATGATACAGATTTGGACCTGAGATATGACACCCCAGAACCTTATTCTGAGCAAGACCTCTGGGACTGGCTGAGGAACTCCACAGACCTTCAAGAACCTCGACCCAGGGCCAAGAGAAGGCCCATTGTTAAAACGGGCAAGTTTAAGAAAATGTTTGGATGGGGCGATTTTCATTCCAACATCAAAACAGTGAAGCTGAACCTGTTGATAACTGGGAAAATTGTAGATCACGGCAATGGAACATTTAGTGTTTATTTCAGGCATAATTCAACTGGTCAAGGGAATGTATCTGTCAGCTTGGTACCCCCTACAAAAATTGTGGAATTTGACTTGGCACAACAAACTGTGATTGATGCCAAAGATTCCAAGTCTTTCAATTGTCGCATTGAATATGAAAAGGTTGACAAGGCTACCAAGAACACACTCTGCAATTATGACCCTTCAAAAACCTGTTACCAGGAGCAGACCCAAAGTCATGTATCCTGGCTCTGCTCCAAGCCCTTTAAGGTGATCTGTATTTACATTTCCTTTTATAGTACAGATTATAAACTGGTACAGAAAGTGTGCCCTGACTACAACTACCACAGTGACACACCTTACTTTCCCTCGGGATGAAGGTGAACATGGGGGTGAGACTAAAGCCTGAGGAATTAAAGGTCATATGACAGGGCTGATACCTCAAAGAAGAAGGTCATATCTGTTGCCTGGAATGTGTCTACACTGCTGCTGTTGTCAACTGGCTGCAAATACACTAGTGGAAAACAATCTGATGTAATTTCTGCCCAGTCAGCTTCATCCCTCAGTATAATTGTAAATCATCACAGGTTTTGAAGTCACACCTGAAGACATGCTCTCACATATAGAGGTACACAAACACACTGTCATGCACATTTCAGCTTGCATCTGTCGTGATTCCTGTTGAGAGGGCTTTCATTGTCTGACTCATAATGGTTCAGGGATCAACTATCATCAAACAGAAGGATTAACTAGACGGAGAATGTTTCTAACACTCGCTGTTATGGAAATCTCTTTTAAAGTCTTGAGTACATGCTAATCAATAATCCCCACTCATGCATTCCTACTGCTTGGAGTAGCTGTACTGGTAAATACTACTGTAGGAGTATCTGCTTGTTAAAATGGAAAAATGTGTCTTTAGAGCTCAGTATTCTTTATTTTACAAACACAACAAAATGTAGTAACTTTTTTCCAGCATACAGTAGGCACATTCAAGGTGGTCCAAGATGGCTCTTTTTTCTATGAAAGGGGCCTGTTCTCAGTAAAGATGGGCAAACATTTGGAATTTACATGTGGGCAGACATTGGTATAACAACTTTCATCACCAATCATTGGACTTTTGTGAAGTTGAGACCAGCTAAAACTGCTTAAAATAAGTTCTGATCATTATATAAGAAGGGAAATGCCTGGCAGACACCATGTAAGTTATAAGTGTCTGTCTTATCTTTACTACACATATTGTAACAAATTCAATATCCTAGTCTTCATTTGTATGAATGGTTTGTATTGTACATAGTTTAACCAAGTGTTATTTGAGCTGCTTATTAATATTAACTTGTACTTGTCTCTCTGCTTGTTATTGGTTAAGAAAAAAGGATATGAGGAATTCATTTTATCAATGTAGCTGTGAACTCCATTAAAAAGACAAACTTAATGTACAGAGCATTTATTCAGATCAAGTATTGTTGAAAGCTATACATATACAACATTACAGTCTGTCTGTATTTAGATATTTTATTTCTGGACAAAATGAAATGTACATAAAAATAAAACACTTAAAGTTGAGTTTCAATATGTACTTGTGTAAGATGGTGATTTAAATGGTTCTGACAAGAAGAATGTGCTGGAATACAGTCATGGCTTTGCATCTCTAAATTTGTACAGAACTATCTAAACTGCTGTTAGTTGCCTAGTCAAAACAACTTAAGAGTTTCAATCTGAAGCCTGGGGAATTTGTGGCACATAGAATCGCACACATTTTTGGTTTGCTGTCATGCTATTCAAGAATACCAAAACTCAATGAACATAAGGATATAATTGAGGTCTCCTAAATTAATTATATGTAGTTGAATTATTTCCTGACCAGTCTTTATTTAGCAGAAGAAAAGAAGTGAAGGCATTCTTTTTGCTTTAAAAGAGTCAAGATGCCTGAAGATTGTGGCTGAATTTTCCTGATTATACTGTAATGACTCAACTCAACTGAAGAAATTGTGATAACATTGGAGGGCTTCAATGCTCAATTTACCTATAGCAGATTGGAGATACACACACACACACACACACACACACACACATATATATATAATGCATTGTTTATGGACATTAACTTTATTTTCAAAAATAATTGCTATACACAATCTCAGCAAAATAACCAGATGAAGAAATATGTGAGGTGACCAATTTCTAAAGCCACGAGTTGGGAATCGGAACTTGAAGTGTTTCAGAAGTTAACAAAAGACGTCAAATTAAGAACACAAATTCATTATCTTCCCCTCATGGTACTTAGAAATAAGTCCGTTTTCATATAGAAAATAATAGAAGTACAGCAAGAGAAACAAAACCAGAGTTCTAAAGTGAGAACTCAATAGCCAATTTGATTAACGAGAGTCAACTGCAAATCGAACACCCATTACTCTGTTAAATGTCCATTTCTTGAAATGCTGCAAAATATCTAGATGACCATTTATATCAATATATTAATTAATTTACCATGGAATTTAGAAGCTACTGTCAGAACAGCATCTCTGGCACAACAGGCAATAAGAGCTTAATGAGTCCTGGTTGCTGAATATACTTGTCATAGATAAATCTTGTCATTCTGGAGTTTATTTATCAAAAGTCATCACTTAGGAATTAGTTGGCTCTTAGCAAACAGAGTAAGTGAGAAAGGAAAAAAATATATATTTTTAAAGGATGATTTGATTAGTGGACTATGACTCTCATTGTATGGTCTGATCTGCCATTTTGTAATCCAAAATTCAAAGTGAGATAAAAATGTGCTTCAGTCTCCAACCCTCTATATTGCATTCTAACCTCCCAATGAAATGTAGCTTATACAGTTTTATAAACACAGAACACAGTTAACTAACATTCATAGACTGAAATGTTTTACTGATATTTTCTTTAGAAGAAAAACAATAAGAAAAGATGTAGCAAACTTCCAACAAGCATTTTGATTTAAAAAAAAATCCAAACCTTCAGGACCCTTATTCTGGGCTGGTAGACACTCATCTGGAACTTTTATATCAACAACACCTCTATCTGTAATAGAGAAAAATTATTATGATATAGAACTTTGATTCAAAGAAATGTATTTGCACCCACTATATTCTTCCTTTCTTAGACACAGAAATGGGTGAAGGAAGATGATCAATATCAAGATCAAAGGCTCAGAGGAAAACTGTTAGATCCACTTGTTGTTTAAACACACTGGTTAAGTTTTAACTGTGTTAGAAAATGCTTTTGTTATTTGGAAAAAAAATAAACTTTAAGCAACACTAAGAAAATAACATTCTCTAGAATCTTAAATGTTATTTCATGCCTTTGTTGAAGTACAGAAAAAAAACCTTCCAGGTGGAAATGGTTAGTATCTGATGCAAACCATGGGTTTGTCATCTCCTATTGTTCATTTCAAAAACAATTTAGTAAAATCAAAATTATTATAAAGTAATGATTGTTGTAGCTTCTTGCCTTATGGAAGAAAAATGATATAAATTATTGGTTTATCTATTTATGAAACAAAAACAATGAATTGTCATGTTGTATTCTCAGTTGGGCATGGGAGAATTTCTCTGAACAGGTGGAAGGGCATCCCTGGCACACAGTAAAGTTCTGGAAGTGATCACTTTGCAAGTAATTGAGATACTTGTTAAATTTAAAAGTGTGGACTGGGAATCTTCAGGTTCTTACATTTCAGCAATAAATTGTAAGCCATATTTTTGCACAGAATAGATTAAAAAATCATGAGAAGCCTGAGAAAGTGTTTTCTTTTCACTTTTTTTCCCACTGCTTTATATGTAAGAAGCAGCCTAACCAATAAACAGCTCTTTGGAATAGCAATGTCCATCTCCACCATCAGCTTTGAATGCCCAGTTTTAGCCTGAAACAAATTCTAATGGCTGTATTTAAAAACCATTGGAAGACTTGGTTGATCTACCAGTTTTAGACATTTATTTACCTGTTCAACTGTCAATCTATTTATATTACATTTATTTCATTTACATTTTTCAAATAAAATACAAGTTAGTATATGGATTCAAAAATTGAAAAATAAATAATTTGCATAAAAATTATGACCATTTATCGAATCTCTAGATGACAAAAATTGAGTATAGGCTGAATCAAATCCTGAAAAACTTACTGCAAGGTCTGGGTTTTCTCAGGAGTCCCATGCATGTGAAAGAATGATTGCGGGGGTTGGGTACATAAGACAAACGGTCTAAAATTGCAGTGTATCATTAAGTTTTATATGCAATGATAGCGAATATTTTACTTAACAAATTTATAATTTGTTTACTAGGATGGGAAAGACAGAAACCTCCTAATAAAAGCTTTACTTAGGATTTGCTCCGTGAGCAAGGTCTAGAGAAACAGCCTTAAGTTAGGGGAGTACTAGTGCCAAGCAGTTAGCCAGGTGTCCAAAAGTACTTTTATAATTCTGCATCAGTGATAACATGCCTTTTATCACTGATAGTTTGCAAGATCACTGTAAAGCTCCCAGATATGATGACTGTGGAAGACTTAGAGACTTGTGGCTGGAGTAGTTGTTGCCATCAGAGGCCAGGTGTTGTTACCCAAAATTCCAGCTACTGAATTAGAAGACATACAGCTCTGTTCACATGCTCACCAAAAAGTCTCTGGCTTTTTATTTCCTGATCTTAGAGTTCAAAGGGACAAATAGAATGCAATTCTTCTACTCAAACACAAGAGTAAACTTGGCCGTTGTTATTGTGATAATTTAAAGAAATAATGTAAGAAGTTGTTAGAATTCAGCTATTGCTGAATAAATGCTTTTTTTTTTTTTTTTTTTTTTTTTTGAGATGGAGTCTTGTTCTGTCTCCCAGCATGGGGTGCAGTGGCGTGATCTCGGCTCACTGCAACCTCCACCTCCCAGGTTCAAGCGATTCTTCTGCCTCAGCCTCCCGAGTAACTGGGATTACAGGCGTGCACCACCACACATCCGGCTAATTTTTGTATTTTTAGCAGACATGGGGTTTCACCATCTTGGCTGGGCTGGTCTTGAACTCCTGACCTCATGATCCACCTGCCTTGGCCTCCCAAAATAGGTATTTTTTTAAATAAAAAATCTACCATTGTTTCTATTACTGCTAAAATTTACCATGTCAATTTTCTGAAGTCCAGTTTTATTACCAAAATCAATTTGTTTTGCATTTCATAGCAATTTTTGATAGAAAGCATGGCCAAGTGACATTGCCTAAGCAGGTTAAAAATATTTCACAAGCTTTGTAAGAGAGGAAAACAATTGCTATTCTCTTTTACTAACCACCTAACCCAAAAGAGAAAGGCGACAAGTCCATGATAATGGCTAATATTTGTTGAACACATAAGGGTGGACCATTTACTGTGCTAATCTGTTTCTACCTATTCCCTCACTTAAGCATCATGATTCTGTAAGGAAGATGCTCTCATACCTGTATTACAAGAGGAGACTGATGCTTAGAAACATGAAGTAACCTGCCTGAAGTAGCACAGCTCTTAAGCGATAAATCAAGGAGTCAAAACCCACCTCTAGACTCCAGACACTGACTTTTTAAACTGTTACTCCTCTTTGTTACTCTATTTTCAAATCGAATTGAGGACACTTCTACACAAAATTAGCACATTTAATGTAAACATAGCATGGTATCATTATATTGAAAAGAGATGAATAATTCATTTAACTCATTTATTTTTCTTCAGCTTTTCGCTATTTCTCTTATTTGCTCACGTCCCCCTCATAATCCTGTGGCAAATTCCAGCCCTGGTGTCTCTCAGGCAGAAACCAGCTATGCAATGTAGTTGCCTCTGCCAATACACTGCTGTGGTAGCTAGCATTGTTCTCCAAACTACCTTTTATAAAATCGTTTTTGATTTAGGGCCAGAGTTGTTTCTGAGCTTGATACATATGAAAGTTGAAGGTCAGGGATAAATGGAGCTATAATGTAATTCAGAATTACCCAAGATTCCTTCACAGGAATCTCATTTCAGGGAAATACTGCTGCATGCTTAGGAAACTTTCAGCAACGTGACTTAAGTTGTCCTCAAAAATGACTCAGGTAATTTTAATGTGGCTTTTTTTCAACTTTTTAAATTTCGTATCATAGTGAGTCTTTCTGCCCTTCCGCGACAGGCTTTGAATTGGGTATTCTCACAGCGTCGAAACAAAACACATGAGGGTATTTTCTGTAAAAAGCTTAAGTGAGTTGAGGATCCTTGAAAAGGTTGTTCAAATCCTCTCTTCTGATATGTTTCATTTTCCTTGCTTTCAAGGTTTTATTCTTACACACACACACACACACACACACCCCAAAAATGGTAGCAACTTGTTTACTTTACTGTCTCAAGTTTCTTAGAAACCTAGCTCTATACACAAAAACAGGAATTGGAATACACTGAATGCTTTTGGCTGCTGTGCCCTGGTGCTCTGATTGTGACAGTGATACTTACAGTCACTTATTTTTTTTTAAGTTACTCATGTTTTGCTCATGTATAAAATTAACATTCTTTAAGAGAACCGTAAGTGTGAGGGCAACTTATACTCCATTATGTTAAGTAGAATCATGTTCAAATTCTAGCAAGTTATAAATAATCTATGAACTCAATGTATGAACTTTCTGTTATTAACTGAACCTGGTCACCTTTTCATTTTTCTCCCAATTTTAGAAAAAAGTGAATTTTATTAAAATGACACATGGTCACGTCTAAACTATTTCACTCTCTATAAATTCCAAAACACTACAAGTTTAGTTGAGCTTAAAATGATCTTCGATTTCTTTGGTTCACAGGATTTTTGTTTGTTTTCATCAGGTATTTGTGAGGTATTATTCATGCAGTTACTTTTATTGGGGCCTTTTGCAGTATGTGCCCCCAAAATCCCCATACACACATTTACCTATTTGTACCATGTGGGCTTCCCTCAACTTCGGCAACTACAGCTTTCCATATTCAGGCCTTTGCTATAGCAGAGCCAAAAAACAAATAAGAAAATTGGAAATTCTTGGCAAATTTATTTCGAAAATTTGGCAGAGCTAATGATCTTGACATAAAAAGTTTTTCTGTTTATTGCTTTGTTTTCTTTCCACTTGAATTATGTATATCAAAAGGAATGCCTTGAAGCACAAGGATATAAATTCTACATCATATCTAATAGAGTTTCTTGGAAAAAGTTAAGGTCATGCAGAGCCAGTTCCTCCTCACTCACTCCACCAACTCAAAATAGGTGTTCTG